CCCCACACACACACGCACACCCCTCGACCGCCCACCCCACCCCTCCGCCGCCTAATCCCCCGCAGGACCTTCCTGACGGATTATGTCGACGTTCTCGACACCGGGACGACCACCGGGCTCCTCTCATCCTATGGTGACCGTCACAGGGGCGGGGCCGAGGTTGCGTCACCGGCGGTGTCCGGCCTTGCCGTGAACCTGCCGCAAAGACTCGCATCTCGCCGTATCACACTCTAAGTGGGGTCCATCGGGCTGCGGCTGTCGCCTTTCCCGCGGCCACTCAATGCGGCGCGGCCCCCTACTCGGCAACCGCCAACCGCCAACCGCCGCCCCACCCACCAACCCCAGGGCGGCTGGACGAGCTGCAGCATTACGCGGCGGCGCGGGGCGACGACGAGTGCCTGCTGGACTACCTGATGCAGCGACCCGACGGCGCGGCCAGGTGCGCGTCGGGAGGGTGCGTGCATCCGACTTGGTCGGGTTCTCGACTGTTGGGTCCACTTTGGGCTCTACGCTTTTCTGATCTGCCTTACAATTATTGAACAGCATGCTTGATCGTCAGCGCGTGCTCCCATCCCACGATTCCATCAGGCCCGATCCCCCCCCCTGCCCCCCAAATTTGTGGCGCCTGTTGACTTTGCAGGGCCCTGGCTGTGCTACGCAAGCCCAGTGTGGGGGCGGAGCTCATTTACAAGTACGCATCCCCGGTGGTGGCACAGGTGAGCGTGCACGCGCGCGCGCATGTGTGTGTCATTGTGATTGCGTGTGTGTGATTGTGTGTGTGTGTGATTGTGTGTGTGTGTGTGATTGTGTGTGTGTGTGTGTGTGTGTGTGTGTGTGTGTTGAGGGGTGAGCTTTGCGGCCTCCAGCCTCCTGGCCCCACAATCGCCCGCAGCATCGACGCGCATCACATCCCCACTGCGCCCCCTCCTGAACCGCCTCATACCAAGCGTGGGCCCGGCAACCTCAACCACCCTCCCAACTTTAAACCCCAAAACAGGCCACAGACGAGGCCGTCGACTTTTTGGTGGCAAAGGGCCCCGCCCTCGACCCCGCCCGCCTGCTGCCGGCCCTCGCGCGCTTCGGGGAGCCGGGCGCGGCGCCGGCGAAGCGTGGCGCGGCGCTGCGCTACGTGCGCTTCGCGCTGGACCTGCTGCGCTGCACGGACGGGTGGGGCGGGGCGGCGCAATTCTGCATGGGTATGGTTTTGGTTGTGTTTTGAGAGGTCGCAGCGGTGGGGGTCCCTTGTGTGTGCAGCTGCTGAGACACCTGTGCAGATTGGCCAGCTGCGGAGTGGAGCCACCAGACACCACTTGCCCCAAGCTCAATCCACAGAGCGTCACCACGCCCCAAAAAAGCGTTCGCTGCTTGTGCACCATCTGCTGCTGCTTATGCACCATCGATGCCAACAATTGCTTCTGCACATCCATATCGTAAAAATTGTGCTCTCTGTTGGGATTGTACCTGCGTCGCAGGACGGTCCATAACCTGGCGGTGGCGCTGCTGTCCTTGGACCCTGACGAGGGCCCCCTGCTGGACTACTTGTCGCGTGCGGGCCGCGACCCGCTGGGGCGGCCGCTGTACGACGCTAAATACGCGCTTCGCCTGGCGCGCGACAGGGACAGGTGTGTGCGCGACGCAGAACGTGTGTATCGCGTGTGCATTGTTGTGGCGCGCGTCTCGTTCTGTGATGCGTGTTTTGAGGGAGGGAAACGGAGAGGCACGAGGGAAGCCGGTGTGCGCATAAAAATGGATGCGTAATGATGTAGTATGTGGCGCAAAAGAGGGCGTGGTAATGGGCATTGGGCGGAGGGAGGCTGGGGCCGAGCCAGTGCTTCTGATGCCGCTGTACGACGCAACGTACGCGCTGCGGCTGGCACGGGACAGGGACAGGTGCGTGCGCAACGCAGAACGTGTGTATTTTGTTGCGGCGCGAGCCTCATTAGAACCGCGCGTGTTTCGAGGGAGCGAAAGCAGGAGGCTTGCAGAAAGCCGGTGTGCGCGTGAAAGCGGGTGCAGGGAACGGGCTTCTGTGACGAGGGCGTTGGTTTGATCAGTTGGGGGTGAGGGTGGGGGTGAGCTAGGCCGTCTGGGGCGGCCGCTGTGTGATGCAATGTACGCGCTGTGGCTGGCACGGGGCCGGGGCAGGTGCGGTTGCGGTTGCTATGCTAAGTGCAGGTGTGTTTTTGTGGTGCTGCGCACGTGTGCACCCGGGCATAAACTTGCGTGCGATTGCGTGCGTGTGCATGTTACATGTCAGAGAGCGAATTGAAGAGGGGGTTTCAGTCACGTGATGGCATATGTCCCCATGCCATGTCACCTTGTGTCACATCAGCCCGCCCCAACCCGCCCTCGACGCGCCCGCACGCAGGCCGCGCGCGTGCGTGAAGCTGCTGAGTCAGCTGGGGCTGCATCAAGACGCGGTGGCCCTGGCGTTGGAACAGGTGGGGGGCCTGCGATGGGTTTGGTGGCCTGGGGGGTGGGGGGGCGACAGGCGTGGTGATGGTGGTCGCGGTTGGGTTGATGGGGGCGG